ACCCGCCATCTTTTCTTATTATTACACAAGGTTTTAAAATCGAGAAATATTTTTAATGAGACAAAAGCCGTGATTATCTATACAACAGCCGTGCTAATATTTTTCAGGAAAACGTCACCAACTACCGGAAACTTGTGTATTTGTCGAATCTTTGGTGAACTTCGCTGAAGTCTCGGATTGGGGGCGACTAAATCCAATCGAGTTTAATCCTCAGAAGGCGCAAGTTTGCGCGTTTACCGCTAAAAAGAACCCCTTTGTCGTATCGTCTCAGTTTCAATGCACTCCCCTTTTTGCCTTAGCCAGTATCGGAATCCTCGGCGTCAACATATCCAGTGACGTGCAGTTCGTGGTCACTTGGATGAGAAGACCAGATTGGCCTCTAAAAAGCTTGGCGTGATCAGCAGATTGGCACACCGCCAGCAACTTTAAAAGGCGCAGGTTCGCCCTCACATGGAATACTGTTCTCATCTCTGGGCTGGGCTCCACAGTGCCAGCTCCTTCCACTTGATCGCATCCAGCTCGCGGCGGCTCGAATCGTCGACGACCGAGTCGTTACCGATTGGCTCGATTCACTGGCACTGCGAAGAGATGTTACACCCTTCGCATTTACCACGGGGACTGCTCTGAGGAATTGTTCGCATTAATCTCAGCCGCCGAATTTCACGAACGCACATCGCAGCAAAACTCCCGATATCATCCATACCATCTGGATGCTTGGTGATCCAACACTGTACGTTTCAATAATACAAACACTCACGCCTATCACCCAGAGGGGTAGGCAGAGACTACGGACTTCGATTTGGCGCGATCCTGGCATACTTCTCTCGCCTCCTTTACATACATATATTTACGCATACACGCTCGTCGGTTAAGAGTACTCCTAATTTGGCCCATTTTCAATGTATCGCCGATTTGTTCGATAAATCTTCGTCTAGGGCAAACACTTTCTTTCGCCATAAGAGGATTCACATGTATACTTGGGAAAGAGGAGATAATAGAAGCATGATAGATTTCATAATTGTGGATGATAGAATGAGGAGCGCAGTGGTAGATACAAGGGTTTACCGTAGGTCCAACGTAGGGACGGATCATTACTTGGTCTTATGCCGAATTAATGGTTTATTCAAGCGTTGGCGGCATCGGACATCTTTGTCTACCACTTCGTTACAGCGTATAAGAATAGAGAGGTTACAAGATGAAGGTGTGAAAGAGAAGTATAAATGCAGACTGAGGGAAAATAAATGTGTGTTGAATGAATTTTGTATGAATGGCTTAGACTTGAAGAATGTATGGAATAATGTTTAGAAAGTTTTGGTGGATACAGCCACCGAAGTATGTGGTTTAAGTAAGAGAACGAATGAAAGGAAAAGTAATACGTTGTGGTGGGATGATGAGGTACGGGTGGAAGTTGAAGCAAAGAAGAGGGCATGGCTAGATTTACTAGCAACCAAAGCTGGTGATTCTGGCGGTATGAATGATGAGATTGAAAGAAAAATAGGCAGACTTTAGACGTACAAATAAGAGAGTAAAAGAAGTTGTTGAATGGAAAAAGCAAGAAAGGATAGATAAGAATGATAGAAGAATATCTGATAACTTATATACCAGACGAAAATAGCTGCATGCTGAATGATGAAGTTTCGAATTTAAAGAGATGGAAGGAATACTTTGAAAGCGTGTTTGAGAGTGAAGAGTCGTCTGAAGTAAGTGAAATAGAAATTCCGGAAGAAGTGGAGAGAGGTAGGGAGATAAGTGTAGATGAAATAATGAAAGCAATGAAAAGCATGAAAGCAGGTAAGACATCCGGATATGATAGAGTATCACTCGAAATGCTAAGGGCTGGAGAGGGTGTGGTTGCAGGCCTGCTGTACACCTTGTTTAATTTATGTTGGGAACTGAAGCGGGTACCGGAAGACAGGTGCAAAGCCGTTATAGTCCCAATATATAAAGGAAACGGGTCGCAGCAAGACTGTAAAAACTACCGTGGTATCAGCTTGCTTAGCATTGTGGGTAAACTGTATGCTAAGGTGTTAATTGAAAGAGTTATGGAATAAATTCATGGGAAAATTTGGGGTGTGCAAGCTGGATTTAGAAAGGGGATGGGATGTATGGATCAAGTCTTTTCCATGCGCATGATTGCGGAGAAATTTTTGGCCAAAAGCCAGAAAGTTTTTTGTGCGTTTATGGACTTGGAAAAGGCTTATGATAGAGTGAACAGGAACGTGTTATGGCAAATACTGACCTCATTTGGGCTGAGCGCTGGTCTGATACAGACATTATAGTCTCTTTATAGGGACTCTAGTGCTTGTCTCAGGATCAACGGGGCCTACTCGGACGGGTTTGGCATTCAAAAAGGTGTCAGACAGGGTTGTGTAGCTTCTCCGTGGCTGTTTAACCTATTTATAGACAGCTGTTTGCAAACTTTGAAAGTTGAAGAATGTGGGTTCAGAGTGGGTAAGTTAACCGTCAAATGCCTTTTGTACGCCGATGATGAAGTCATATTTGCATCGTTGGCGGCCGAGTTGCAAATGATGGTTAATTTAATGAACTGGTCATTAAAAGAACGAAAAAGAACGCAAGTAAGACGAAAGTGATGGTTTTTGAAAGAGAAGAAAGTAAAACGTTATGTGAAATAAGAATAGAAGGGGAGTTGATTGAGCAAGTGGATGAGTTTGTATATTTGGGATGTTTATTTAGCAGGGATGGTAGATATGATAAGGATATAGAACGACGAGTGAACGCATGAAATGGAGTTAATGGGGCTCTACACGCTATTATGAAGAATATGTCAAAGAATATGTCAAAGAAGGCACGTATGGCAATTCATAATGGTGTCTTAGTCTACTTTAATGTATGGTAGTGAAAGTTAGGTATGGTAGAAGAAGCGTGAGAGTAAAATAAAAACTGTAGAAATGCGGTCATTACGTAGTATGCTAGGGCTGAATCTGAATGACAGGGTGAGAATTAGTGTGATAAGAGAAATGTGTGGTTTGCAAGATGACGTTGTCACTAGGATTAAAAAAGGAATGCTTCGGTGGTTTGGTCACGTAGAAAGAATGAACGAGGAAAGAGTGACAAAGCAAATTAATGTTTCAGAAGTGTACGTTTCACTAGGAGTTTTTTCCGCGTAAAAACTCTCTGTGGGATAATTTACCACCGGACTGATACGACTTGGGGACTTTCAAGAAAAGAGCATAATCCTTGTTAAAAGACCGACAACGCACCTGCAATTCCCTTGGTGTTGCAGTTGTTCATGGGCGGCGGTATTCACTTACCATCAGGTGAGCCGTATGATCGTTTGTCGCCTCCTCTTAAAAAAAAACAGATATCCAGACATGATAAGCTTGCAGATTTTTTTATGAAAATCCAAAAGACTGTTCGATGTCGCTACCGCTAGGGTAGCAATGAGAGTAATAGATCATCTAAGCGATGATATATTGCTCTAATTTCCTAATATAATGATTATTGACTTTGCGTGAACATTTAACGTCAAGTAAATTTAAATTTAATAGGCCATTGTCGAGCTTCATTCCTTCATTCTTTTGGACATAGGCTTCGTCCATGCCAGATGCCACGTTTGGCAAAATAGTTTGAACTACTGGTCGCCTAGTGATTATTTGAGTATAAACTTAAACAATGTATGTCTTATTTTATTAAATTTTAGCTTTCTAATTCCTTGTTCATGTAAATTTTTACTATGCCTAATCTCACACTCCTCTGAGCGCGCAATGGGCTTGAAAATGGAACAAAGTTTTCTCTTAACGTATTAATACATAGGTTAGACTAGATTGCAAATAAATATAATAAAATTATAGGTAAGAGCACATAACACAATTATACTCTTCGCCGATTGGTTAAGAGACAAGCTATTTAGTTGAATATGTTGGTTACAAATTGGCATGTTACTCGTAATAAGTTCACGAACTTTTTTTGCCAGGCATCAGCTTATTCTATTAAGACTGAGTTGGAATGCCTCGTTTCCAGTAAAAAGGATCTCCGGTTCTTTACATTCACCATACGAAACACAGCAGTATTAAGGTGCTATTTTACAATAGTATTCTATGAGAGCGTGTTCCTTCCCCATTCGATCCAACCCATCCGTTCTACAACCACAATATAGCTGCAGCGTGGCGTGGTAAGTGGCGCGTTATCACCCGTGAGGACAAAGATGGAATGTCTCTTTTCCAGTAAAAAAGTTCTCCGGTTTTCTACACTTACCATACGAAACACAGCAGTGTTAAGCTGCTATTTTACGCTGGTATTCTGTGAGAGCGTGGTCCTTTGCCGCTCGAGCCGTAACTATACTTGTTACGGCTTGAATGTTTCGCAATGTGTTTCGTGGGTGGTTTTGGGAACCAGAGAACAACCAGACCAAGGGCTGGCTAACCCGATGATCCCAATCAGGAAGTAAATGAAAATAGCTTTAGGACTGGGTAGATAAGGCAAGGATACTCACAAGACTGGAGCACTCCTCGTGGTTATGGTGATGTCTAAATATTTAGGCTGAAGTTCTCGTGGATACACAGACACCACACTGCACTTCGAATGTATATGGACACGAGCAATTGCACGATAGTCTTACAACTTATTTCTTGAGTATTTTTAAACGAGCAGTAACGAACACGTTTTATGCGTGCGCGGCCATCTTGCATCTTTTTTTTTCTTGACGATAGGTGGCGCACCATTTTGAGTAGTGCGTATATGGGGGAGGCGGGAGGATAGGAAATACTTAGGAAAAGGATATTATATCGGGACTGTTCCGAAGCCACAACATTCCCTCCCACCTGAAATCACCTAGGGATTTCACAAGACAACCATCGACCCGGCAGCTCTCCAGGTCCCCAGTTGCTCATAGAATATAAATTAATATAAACCAAATAGATATCTGAGCTAAGTTGTGCATTGATAACCTTAACTAAACTACAAAACAAAATCAAACTTAGTTAATTTAATTGTAAAATTAGAACTTACAATCTAGCTTAATAAAACAATAAAAATAAGATTCAATCAAGAGGAAGAGGGCAGACTTTGACTACTGGTCTTGTAAGTAAGCCTCTTTTAGTCTTTAAGGTCACAGCCCGGATAATATTGTCCTTTCCGGGATAGATTTGGACTACTCGACCTAGGCGCCATTCGTTAGGTGGTAGATTAGGTTCAATGATTGAAACGAGTTGACCAATATTAGGATGTTCGTGATCATCCTTAAACCACTTAACTTTTTGTTGGAGTGTATGTAAATAATTATTTTGCCAAATACGCCAATAACTTTGAGAGAGCTTTTGAAGTAACTGCCAGCGTGTTCTAGGATTCATATCTTCAACAGACGGTTCTGGTAGAGCGACTAAAGGACCTCCTATAATAAAATGACCGGCCGTGAGAACATCAACTTCGCCAGGATCAGACGATAACTGACAAATCGGTCTTGAGTTCAGCATCGCTTCAACTTTAGTTAAAACTGTAGTTAGTTCTTCAAACGTCAGGACTTGTGAGCCTATGACCCTCTTGAGATAATATTTAGTACATTTTATACCACTTTCAAAAATGCCTCCAAAGTGAGGTGCTGATGGTGGATTTAGTTTCCAAGAGATTCCACGAGACATTAATTGATCAGAAAAATCCTGTTTTTTATCTATCAATAATTTAACCATTTCCTCAAGATATCGTTTAGCGCCTACAAAGTTAGTCCACAATCTGTCACAATATGTTGACATATTCCACGTCGAGACACGAATCTGTCTAGGGCGGCTAGAAACGCTTCTGTAGACAGTTCAGATACGAGTTCTAAATGAACTGCTTTTACAGATAGCCTTACTGACCCGTGCATTACGTCGTCTGTTTTCTTTTATAAGAAAAGGACCGCCAAAGTCGATCCCTACCTGTTGAAAACAGTAACTTTGTTGAGATCTACAAGGTGGCAGGTTGCCCATAAATGGCTGATAGGGTACAGGTTTAACCCGAAAGCAAGTCACACACTTTGTTAAAATAGAACGAATAAGATTTCTAATTCCTAAAATCCAGAACTTGCAAACAATTAGAGATTGTAACGTGCGAGGTCCACAGTGCAAATACCGTTTATGATAATAGCTAATAATTAATTGAGATAAAATAGATTGTTTCGGTAACAAATATGGATGTTTTGTGTGTTCAGGTAAATTGAAATTAGTAAGTCGTCCACCCACTCGCATGAGTCCTAGGTTATCAATAAACGAAGACAACTTTTGTAAGTATTTAGGTAGAGGCTTCTGCGATTTTAATTGAGACATCTCTTGATTGAAGCTGTCCCATTGGACATATTTAATAAGGCTAAGCAGAGAGCACTTTACCTCATTCGTAGTCAAGTGACCTTTCTCGCGTTGGCTTTGTTCTTTGCGCGAATTAGAAATGAAGCGAAAGACCCATGTCAATACTCGTAGTAGTCGCGATAAGGATGAATACCGATTTAATAACACCTTCATAATGTCTTTATCAGATTCCCGAGATTGAGCAATCAGAGTGCGTGTTCTCAACTCTGGCAACTCATCTTGGGGCTCACACTGACTTGGAGCTGGCCAGTGATCTGGACCACTAAGCATCCAATCTGGCCCTGACCACCATCGCGTACAATTGACCAATTCTGCACACGAGAGACCTCGGCTAGGAAAGTCAGCAGGATTGTCCTGAGTCGAGACATGCCTCCAGGTAGAAGGTTCAAATGCGTCAGTTATTTTAACTACTCGATGCGCAACAAAAGGTTTCAGTTTGTAAGGCTAGGTATTGATCCAAGCTATATTTATTTTCGAAAATAGAAGAGATATATTTATTTTCGAAATAAGTAAAGTTTGCATGTGTTTGAGAGTACGTGATAAGAAGAGCGCACCGCACAACTCCAAACGATTTACTGTTAGAGGCTTAATCGGAGTCACTTTAGATTTAAAAATCAAAAGAGAAACTTGTTTTTGATCATCGATACTTGATCGAAGATAGACAAAGCACCCATATGTTTTGGTTGATTCATCGCAAAACCCAATCAGCTGGTGTGTAGCTGCTAAGTCAATCACGGTTTTACGAGGGATTTTTATCGATTTTATATTAGACAAGTCAGACACAAATGAAACCCAATCGTCACACAGATTGGCGGGAATGATTTCATCCCAAGACAATCCTATACGCCATAAGTTTTGAAGAAGTAGTTTGGCTAAAAGAATAAAAGGTGAAAGCCAACCCAACGGATCATAAATACTAGCTACGTGGGACAGGATTGAACGTTTCGTAAACTCCACATTCACAGGAGAGACGGAGTAAGTGAAATAGTCTTCCTCAGGATCCCATTGAACTCCCAAAACCTTAAGCTTTATTGAACTATCATCAGAAAATGTCTTCGGACACTGACAATGTTCCATGGGTAACGATCGAAGAAATAAAGGGCTGTTACTGCTCCACTTACGCAAATCTAGCTGAGCACAATTAAGGAGATTGATTAAATCTTCTTTAAGCTGAGAGGCTGCTTCGACTGAGGAAGCACCTGTAGTAATATCGTCCATATAAGTATGATGCCGAAGAGCTTCAGCAGCATGCGGAAACTAATCACCGTGATCTGTAGCTAATTGATGTAATGTCCGTATCGCTAAGTACGGCGAGCTTTTGACTCCGTATGTGACCGTACGAAGTTCAAATTCTTGAACAGGCAAGGAAGGGGATTCACGCTATAGTACGTGAGGCCACACTCGATCCTCAGGCCTTATCAAGATTTGCCTGTACATCTTAGATATGTCACATGTAAACACTATATTATGGACCCGAAATCCAGTAATAATGTCAACCAAATCAGCCTGTAACTTCGGTCCAGTGTAAACAATATCATTTAAAGATAGTCCATTTGTCGTCTTGTGACTCACATTGAATACAACGCGAAGTTTGGTCGTTATGCTTTCTGGACGAATCACACAATGGTGAGGAATGAAATATCTACCAGGTGTAGTATCCTTTCCCACTGGTTGCATATGGTTAAGCTGCTCATAATCACGCATAAAATCGTTATAGAGTGATTTAAGTTCTGGTTGTCGGCAAAGTTTTTTCTCAAGATTTATAAACTGCGACAAAGAACTATTATATGAGCCTCCCATATAGACAGACAACTGCTTCAATAAGATAGGAACTACATATCGACCGTCCGATTCCCTATAAGTTTGAGTGGAATACAGGCGTTCGACCTTCTCATCTTCTGAAGCAGGTATATGTTGATGAGGCGGTTCCTAGACTTCCCAAAATCGTTTCATCATCTTCTCCAATGAGTTGGATGTAGTAATTAACGAAGTGCCAACCGGTTTTACAGGACTCTCCACATTTGTGGGTCCTGAGAGCACCCAACCAAAGACGCTATGTAAAGCAGCGGGATAGCTGGGCTATGGGTGAATGACACGGCCGTCATAGAAGTGATGAAATACTTCCGCACCTAGCAATAAATCAACATCAGACGGTTTGTCAAAGTCACGGTCCGCTAATACTAAGTGTTTGTAACAGTCTCGAACCGCTAGAGGAATATCAGTGGTTGGCATTTTAGAAGTAATGCTATCGATGACTATAGGATTAATATCAAATTGCGGGCCATTCGAATCACACGGGCGTATAGAGCATTGAGTCACTCCCTTGACTTGACACACAGACTGTTGTCCAAGTCCAGCCACAGTTGTGGTACATCGACGCAATTGAAAACCAAGTCTCTTTACGCATTTCATAGTGATGAAGCAGTCCTGAGCGCCGCTATCGATCAGCGCTCTAACTTGATGGAGCGTGCCACTAGAGTCCTGCACACGCACCATACACGTCCCGAGCAGCACCACGCACGGGCCACGAGACTCTCCCACGAACGCACTCGTGTTAGTGTGGGCGCTACTCGAACGTGTGGTCACCGCGGTCGGTGATCGAACTTGGTTGTCGATGTGTACCAGAGTGTGATGATTACCACTACATATAAAACATCTCATTTTTGGGACGCATTTATCCAGAGAATGTAACGTAAACAGTTAATGCATAAATTATTTTGTTTGACAATATTTATTCTAGCACTGGTGTCCAAAGATTGAAACGTGGGGCACTTATAGATACTGTGCGCTGCGCCACAATAATAGCACGCTAGTGAAGCCAGCTGCTTCGAACTAGTAGGCTTAGACTGAGTAGTGAGCACGGAACGTTTCAGGTTCGGTGCCCGCGATGAAACATTCTTGATCTGTTTACCGCCTAAAAATTGAGAAGATCCTGCCCTAATGTCAACATTAGCATTTATTTCTAAAACTTTTACATAGTTTTGAAGAAACTGCATAAGACTTTGAAAAGAAGGAATTTCCGATTTATTTTGAGATTCGAAGCGGTGGCGCGTATCTGAGTCCAGTGCGCTAAACGCTGCGTTAAATAAAATAAAATCGCCTAAGTTATCTAGCTCTAAGGCCTTAAGGGCATTGACTGACTCACAAAGAATATTAGTATATGTTTGTAAATCATTGAAATTAGGAGTTTTTAAATGAGGATGGCTATTTATTTGATCTAAATACGCCACGGCTAAAATGCGCTTATTTTGATAACGCTTAATAAGTTCATTGAATACAAGCTCATAATTATCGGAAGTTAATTTTACCTTTTTTTTATAGGATCGGCTGACAAACGAGCACACAGTCCACCTGATGGTAAGTGGTTGCTGTGGCCCATAGAAATCTACATCTATCCTCAATAAAGACTCAAGATGCAGATGCGTTGTCACCCGTGAGGACTAAGATGGAATGCCTCTTAAAAAAAAGGTCTCCGATTCTCTACACTCACCATACGAAACACAGCAGCGTTAAGCTGCTATTTTACGCTGGTTTTCTGTGAGAGCGTGGTCCTTCCCCGGTCGAGCCGACCCATTCGTGCTACAACCATAATATAGCTGCAGCATGGCTCTACCACGTTGTAAAATCCCTAATCCTTAAGGCGGATCCCGATAAACAAGAAATGAGATAGTGAAATTTAGTAATATTCGCGATTGATTGATTATTATGAATTAAGGTTACGAAAGTGTCGTAAAATGTTTGCCAATTCTCAATTTTTCCGTCAAACTTCAGAAGCTCAATTTGTGGCAGTCTAGCTTGTATCTTTTCCGCGTCGGGCGTAAAGGTGTAGTTAACGTCAGCGGACGTTGGGCTGCTGCTTCGTTTGCGCTCCGATAGGGACATCTCCGCGGCAAAACTTAGGACTTCATAGTACATATCATCAAATGCAGACAACGCTTGCATATCTATTTTTTCTTTAGGAAACAGTGTCAGTTTTAACGAATTAATTTTTTCCGTAAGCAACACATATTCATCACTAATGTTCTCAATTTTAAGAAATCTAGATTTAAATTGGCTAACTTTAGATGAACTGGAATCTTCCCGTATTTGAGTGGATAAATCGAAAAGAGTTTGAATAGAACGAAAAACATACTCTCGCTGTGACGTATAAAGTTTAAGTTTCATTTCTTCTTGCGACATGATTATAAAATAACAGCGAAATATTAAATATGAATGTTAAGTATAATTATTAACGACAGATATTTAAATCAATATTTAAGTTTGTCAAAACTAAATTATCTTTCTAACACTGAATTTTAATGTTAACGTTTTTTAACTGTTTGAATTAGATAACAATTAACAAATGACTCAACATTCAAAAATATACAAGTATTTATACTTAAGTGCTATTATTCCAAGACCAAATGAAT